AACATTTTTAACAATTATCAAAATAGGTAGTTACCAAAAATTTTGATAATTTATTATAATCGATCTCTAAAATATACTATAAAATAGATTGTAAATAAATTTAACTAAAGAAAACAGTAAATAAAGATAAATATGGTGTTTTGAGTAACAATTGTAAATTATAAAGTTTATTTATGATCATTTTTTGTGAAAAAAATTTATCAAATTTACAAGAGAGTTATTATTTATCACTATTGTTGACTGTTGAGGCCCTCTCTATAAGTAAACTGCCGGTGGGGCCCTTAGTACCCAGTCCGACTCTGAATACTGCCCTGTATATCTGTGGTCAGCGCATTATTTGCTTTCCATCTTTGATCCACACGTAGCATACCTAATGTACGAATAACAGAACCAAAACGAAGTTGTTACTTTTAATGTTAGATTAAAAATATTAAGTTAAGAAGTTTACATACGTCGTTACGTTGGTTACTTGATGATATTTTAATTATCATATAAGTTATGACTTATGATCGTCTAAATAATTACAGTTTAAATATGATTATAAACGATTCGACAAATCTAAAGAAAAAAAAAATTATAATTAATCTACTAAAAAATAAAAATATCTATATATTCATTATAAATACTTAAAGTATAACAATATATGCAATACGAAAAAAATAAATGAAAACTAAAATGTTATCCCAGGAAAAAATTAATTCAACAGTGAAAGGGTTAAAATATTCAAGTTTGATAATAGGTTAATTCAATCTAATATTAAAAGTAACAACACTAACCCAGTGATTTCTAGCGTACGGGTAAGGCGATCATTATTAGCCGAAAAATAAAACAGTTCATTAACATTTTTTAAACTTATCAGTTTTCGTTATATAGTCACTAATCATATAAGTAACTAATTTTCGTTTTTAATAATATTTAAATTATATACAAGAATAGTTTAATAATATAATATTATAAGATTTTTTACAATTATATAATATATTCAACATAAACAAATTCTATTTTATTAAAAAATTAAAGAAAATCTAAATTTTTTTGGTATTCAATTTTGAACAGTAAAGCAAAAAAACTATTTGTGATTGGGAGTGTAGGTTGGCCTATCAACTATAAATTACTTATAAAATAAATATATATTTATGCCTGTACGAAATTAAGTCCTTGAACCGGCTCTGGTTGATTCTGTTAAACGTAAATATGATTGTGTGTGGGTCAGAGAGAAAATTAATGGTGCACTAAAAATCTGACATCCCTTATAAGTGTTATCAAGTTGAAGAAACAGTTGATTGTTGACAATTTAACATTAAACATTAACTGTGGTAGGTATGATTGGAAGTAAAAGTAATTAGCAGGGCTGTGAATTTAATTCATTAAAAAAAGTGTTAAATATTACGCACATGTATGCACTAAAAACAAGCAAAATATGCACTGAAGTATTCAAAAATATGCACTTAAAATTCGAAAAAATACTGAATGAAAACGCGTTTATTAAAAACTGTTTAAATTAATAAATAATAATTAAAATTGGTATACCAAAAAAAAATTTTTTATTATACACTTGGTAGGTAGGTACCTATTTAGTTTTCTAACAAATGAACCTAAAATATAAAAACATTTTAAGCATATTGGCAACGGTGTTGTAATAATAGTGATGTCCCAGAAAAACACGTACTAATAGTTCAAACAAATATTTAAAACCAACTTGATTAAATATTAATTTATGAAAAAGTATATTAAAAAGCATTATTATTATAAATGAAACAAAACTATGAATTATAATGGACCGTATTTTAGTGCGCCCCGTGCCTCATTGAACATAATATACGTATTTCTATACTTTTAGCTCCATAATTTCTGTTAAAATATTAGAAAAATGTATTGAGTACCTTAAAAGTGCTAAATTTGATCTTTTACTTACAATATATTCATAACAAATTATCATAGAAGGTTAGGTACTGTATTCCACATACTTATATAGTTTAATTTAACTAATACATTCTAGTAGATTCTGAAAAAATTTGTTTTCAATACTCTGATCAGTCTGATCATATAAACTATTAATACTTATAACCAAAAAACTACGGGTCTGAAATTAGTTTATATATAGATCTAAATAATCCAAAACATATATAGCTGATATGCAATCTTTCGTAAATCTATTGACGTTAGTCCAAATAAACGTCCTTCCATAAGTTGAAGATAGGATACCAGCTCAGTTTCTTCAGCAGTTGAAAACACTTTAGATATTGGTCCTAATGCCACTTTGTTTCCAGTGTCATAACTAGGATCTAAGTTCTTTTGTTTAATCTAAATAACATTTAATTTACATATAGGTAAGTAGGTATACTAAATAAAATATAGATAAGTAAATAATATAGTAAGATTGTATCGAACCTTTCTTTCTAGAGGGCTTTTAGGTACATTAAATTTAATACAGGCATTACGAAATGTCATGCGTTTTTCATTTACTTCTTTCACAGCCTTCCTCATATTTTCTGAATCCCAATTTTGGCGTTAAGAAACTCTGACTCTTGAACGAGGCATTTCTAAAAACTAAATTATTTGAAAATTCATTAAAACACAAATAATAAATTGTAAAACTTGCTTTAAAATAATAATAAATTTAAATATTATACCTATTATTTATGTTAATATAATATAATATAATAAATGTAGTTAGCTATATAATTTAAATGGCTTATATTTGTTCAAGAGCATGATTATTAAATAGAATAGAATAATTAAATTAAATGTATTAAATTATTATAATATTTGAAAAAATGAATTGAGATAAGATGGGACATGTCTTCATCTTGCCCCATTGCATTTTTCCCGTCTTACCTCAAACAGTAATAATTTAACTTAACGTTTCTATTAAACTTATAATAAGAATGAACTCTACCAAATTTGCATTAATCGAAAACTAATCATATTTTTTAAAAATTATATAGGAGTAATATTAAGGATAGGCAATTATTTACTTGATTATTCACTATTTGATGTCTGCAAAATTTTACATCGCCTATGGCCGTTATATCAAATACTATACAGGGTGATTTTTTATCGAAGAACACTCATTATTTCAAAAAGTATTGACTTTTTCAAATTTTTTTTTTTTTTTAATTTTTAGATTCATGCTTTTCTACAATTGTATTACATTTTAATTTTTTTCACCCTTATATTTATTAGGTAAACCACTATCAACTTTTGATTTTCAAATGGTGACCCATACAAAAATTGTTATAAACTAACAAGGCTATTTTTTTTATGAATTATCACGTTCAAATTTTCATTTTTTGTTAATCCGTTGACGAGATATAGCTCCTCAAAGTTGGGTGGTTTTGTGAGGTTTGTGTGTAAATGTGTAATACCAAGTTAGTACCTAGGTACCGCAGCAATTGTGATTTTTATGCCCCAGGGTAAAAAATGTTACACTTTTTAAATCATTTCAATTACAGTAAGCTTAAGTTGTGCCCCCTAAATGTATTGTAAAACGCCCATTTGGCGGGGTATCGCGCAGTTCACCCCACTGATTGCACTGGTCATAATAAAGTTTATCAATTTTAAAGACCAGAAGTTAAAAGAAATAAACTTGATATCGTTTGACCCAAGGTATAATAGCGATAATCATTGTACCTACTCGCTACAATAAATTATTGTCATAATCTCATATTATTATAAGTAATTGGACCATTACTGATTACTGTCAAATGTTGCATACTCGCGTGTGTAATCCCCACTACACATCTAGCACGATGTAGATAATATTACTATAGATATAATATTATTATCTACATCATGAGACGTCCTATAACCTAACGTCCTAACAGTGCCGGCGCTAGGGGAGGACAAATGGGACATTTGTCCAGGGCCCCGTGATTTTTAATTATCATCTTGATACGAATACCGTGGTCTACCGTCGTATATTGCATTATTCTGGCTGCAGCGGTCGCGTACTTAGATATTAAACAATTTATTATTTTATTCAAACATTTTGATGAATTTATTTATTTTTAATTGATGATTTTATGTAGTTGTTAAAATAAATGTAAATTAATAAAATAACCAGCCCTTATGAATTTATTAGCCTACGATTTTCCACTCAAAGGTTTAACTGAAACTCACGCTACGCCAATAATTCTGTGCTGAGCGAGGTTTCATCAGGAGGAATCGCACTCGAATGTGTTGTCTCCGTTTACTCAAGTAGGTAAGGTAAAGTGGGGTAAGTGTGACGCAAAAATGAAAAGTTAATTTTGAATTTGACAATACTTTTTTTGTTTTTAACTTAAAGTTGTTATTGTTCCATAATGTAACACCTCTAGATATACATAATTGGAATTTATAGTCAACAAAGTTATATTATCACTCACCTCAGAATAATTTTTTTTTTTTAATTTTAAAATGTCACACTTGCCCCTTTTCATGGGGCAAGTGCGAAATCGGATTGTTTTTGCTATTAGTATTACATAAAATTATATATGGGGCAAGTAAATAACAAAGATAAAAATAAGCTTAAATTTGATTTTTGTTTCATTAAAATATCTTGATTCATTAAGAATTGACAGAGCATTATTTAAATTTAATTATTTACCTATATTATATATAAAAACAGTACTTTTTTTAAAATCCTGTTTTAAAAAAAGCTAAAATTTCACTACTCTCTGAGAACCTAAAGGCTATTACCTATGACCAGGGCCCCGCAATACCTAGCGCCGGCACTGACTAGGTTTCGAAGTTGGGTCAATTATTGTAAACGAAAAAACTTTAACCCCGGTAATGGCGCCAGAATTTGTTCAAAGCATTTTAAGTCTGAAGACTATAACCAGTCAGATTTATTACGACAACAATTAATGCCCAATATAAAAGTCAAAGTAAAACTTAACACAAATGCTGTTCCTACGGTTCCTCAAAATATACCCTGCTCTACTTCAAATTCTTCAAATTTATCCGAACGAGAAAAAAGAAAAAGAAAAAAAGAAAAAAAAGAAATTATATCTTCTATAATGACAAGTACACCAAAAAAGTTAAAGCCCTCATTTAGGTCTTTTAAAAATAGTGAATGTAAATCGAGTGATGTTGATGATGACGATGATGTAGAAGGCGGTAATTTAGTGGCGATTACAAATGAATCATTTGTGGCTGGTAAACAAAACGAGATTGGTATACAATGTGAATTAGGTAGTGAAGTATTAAAAAGTCACCATGATTTATCATTAAATTTATCACTTGATGAGTTTTCAACTTCGGAGGATGAAAGTTTTGAAGTTTATGATGAGGACATCGAAGTACTTCAAACTGGAAAAAATGCCATAAGGAAATCTAAAGAAATAGAAAACGATTCGTGTTATATTGTTTTCTGGGAGTCTCTATCAATTTTATTTACACGTTGTCATTACTGTAATGCTAAAGTGGAAAATATTCATAATTATACCAAGGGAGCAATGTTGGCCGTACAAACTATCGTATATGTGAAAATAGACATATTTTCAAATTAACGTCTCAGCAATTATCTGATAAACGACTTGTAGGAAACATTTTAATGGGAGCTGCTTTAACGTTACCCGGTGTATTATTTAATCAAATGAAAACATTTTGTTCGTCTTTAAAACTTGCATTTTTTTCAAGAACAGTTTATGATAAAATCATACAGCTCCTGTAGTAAAACTAATTTGGGATCAACACAGACAAAATAATATAAACGAACTAAAAATGGGTACAAGTATTTGGTTAGCTGGTGATGGTCAATTTGACTCCCCCGGTTTTTGCGCCAAATACTGCACGTACTCAGTCATGGATGTTCGAAGCTCCAAAATAATAGATTTTAAAATTACTCAAAAAGGAATGGTTCAGGGTGATTTAGAAAAAAAAGCATGCGAATTACTACTTCAGAACTTGAAAAAAACGACGAATGTAACATCAATGTATTTTTGACAGATCGACATAAGGGAATTCGTTGTTATATTCGAACACATCATCCGAATATCGAACATGAGTTCGATGTTTGGCACTTATCAAAAAGTTTGACAAAACGACTAAAAACTCTAGAAAAAAATCATCATAGTGCTTTTATGTGGGAAACAAGTATAATAAACCACTTATGGTGGTCTGCTCAAACGTGCGATGGTAATGGAACTGTATTAGTTGAACAATTTACATCAGTTCTGTATCACATTTCAAATATTCATCAGTGGAATGATAATGAACAGATAAAAAAATGTGAGCATGATCCACTTACCGATGAAGAAATAAAAAATAAACTCTGGATTCCAAAAAATAGTGATTCGTATTTTGCGTTAAAAAAAATTATTACTGCCAAAGATTTATTGAAAGATTTGCCTCATGCTAAACATTTTATTCACACTGGCCGCCTAGAGTCATACCACAACACACGTTTAAAGTACATGCCAAAACGTATACATTTGAAGTACGAAGGCATGTATATTCGATCAATAATTGCTATTTTAGATCATAACGATAATACCGATAAAAAAATAGTTGGAGATAAAATGGTTTATTCCAAACCTCTAGGACGGTATACAATAAAAAATACTTATGAAAACACGGAAGGAAATTGGAGAATAGACATTATGAACAAGGTCCATTTGATGGCAATAGAAGGCTCTTCGGGACCATTGAAACTACCAGAAAAAAATTTAATACCAAAAGATATTGTACAGACACCAAAGCCAGATATTGAAGAATTTAAATCAAAAAAGTATTCTAGGTTTAAGTAGTGTAAATTATTACAAAAATAAGTATAGTTTAATATTGTTTTGAAATATTAAAAAAAATAATACTGTGTCTAGGATTTCTCCTATTATTCATATGTAGTTTTACTGTAATATCGTGTGTTAAAAATTATAGCAATAGGCTCATGCTCAAATTATTTTTTATTTCTGGTGGTTTATTCCAATGCTGTCTTACACAAGTAAAAAAAAAAATTTTTTTAAAAACATGCTTTTCTTAATTCTATTTAATACATGAACTAAAAAGTTGAAAATAAACTTACTTTTAAAACAATTTCTTAATAAAATTTCAAGGTTATCAAGATATTACAAAAAGTGTATCTAAAATGTATTTGTTGCAAAATTTTTAAAACTCGTTAATTACAAAAAACAAAAAGCATGTGGCACTTATGATAACTACTATGTAAAGTCACTCTACAACTGAATCATTAGATAAACTTTATGATAAGTATTTTAAAGATTATTGATCATACTTCCAATTTTGTAAGAGATATTCTTGACTCATAGGAGCCCCATGATTTTCGTGATTATTATTACAATAATATTATCCATTTCCAGTTTATTATTATTATTACTATTATTTTGTTTTAGTCTACTTTTGGATCAGTTGTTGTTCGTTATGGCGAGTGTAAAACATTATCAATTTGAACCAGATTGTTCAAATGAGCGGGATTCAAACAATTTTACTGAAAATAATGATTTTGAAATTAACGTAGATAATCGAAGTGGTAAATTAAATTGGTGCAAATGTGGACAGTGCGTAGTTATGACGACGGATCAAGAAAGCGTCTGTTGTCAAGAAAGTGAAAAAGTAAAACAAGTTAGTGGAATAGCTGGTTGTGTGACACACAATGTTTTATTCAACAAACTAGTTTTAGATAAAGATGTTTTAAATATTTCTCGTCATAAAATGATTTTAAAGTCTAAAAAAAAAACAGAAAAAAAAATTTTGTGTAAAATTGAACCACAAAATATAGTCTGGCGATACTTGGCTTACAAACAGTTTATTTCGTGGATAAATGCATGGACAACGATTGGAAAGGGAAATAGGATAGTAATTCCATCATGTGTTATTTATAAAATAAGACAGACTTATCCAGAAGAAAATGGTGTTTATGTAGGATTTCGGCCCAACGATAAACTTCCTACCTAATTTCTGTATTTCTAATTACTCGTGTATGTACAAATATTATGTTTTTTTTTTTTTTAATACAATACTTATGATAGAGAACGTTTTACTTTACTTATTAGGCCTATGTATTAATGGCGTCAGGATTAATAAACAGAAGACTGAATTGAATTGAACAATATGACGGTTTATTATATTTCAGGAAAAACACAGCAACGGTAGTAATTTAAATTAAACGGCAGTTCGTCCGCGGACACAAACGTCATGTCCGGCGGTAACGGCGAAACAGGACGAGGCAGTCCAGTCGCCGAGCACAGTCGAGCCGCCGGGGCGTACCAGTGTTGCCACGGTGGCGCTAACACTCGACCGTCCTGACCGCTGGACCGTCCCCGGGCCAGACACCTCGTTAACATGAATATAAATATAAATAAAATAAATAATTAAACGAATATAAACTGTGGAGTAATCCTCGAGGTACTTCGGCGTTTGTCGAGTCCTCGTACTGCGCTTGGGACCCATCATGGTCCTTCCATCCTTCCATCGGCCCTTCCTTCCCTGTTGTTGCCTGCGTGGATTTCGTCGTTTTTGGGTGGATTGGCAGTACCATTGACGTCTTCATCACTGTCGTCCTTGCCCTCATCACTGTCGTCCTCGCCCTCATCCCTCTTGCGGTCGTGGGAAATCTTCATTGCGCGATGGGCGTCGATAATATTCCGTCGTGCCTCCGTCTGAATTTCCTGTGGGTCCCGCCAGTTATTTCGAGTGAGGCTCAGCGTAGGTAGTATTCCCTTGTGAAAACGAGGTAGGTAACCGTGCAACGTCTCGTACGGTGTTTTTGTCGTTGACTTGTTCGGAGCCGTGTTCAACATATTCTCGACGTACCGTAGTTGCGTGTCCCAATTATTGTGTTCGGTGGCCGTGACACTAAGTAACGAGACAATTGTACGGTTGGCCCTCTCCACTTGCCCGTTAGCCTGCGGGTGTCGTGTGGAGTTCAGTGTATGACGTATTTCTCGATCGCTACAAAATTTTCCGAACGCGTTGGCCGTAAAACACGTACCTCGATCTGTAATAATTCGATCCGGTATCCCTCGTTCGGAACAGAACTTGTCTAAGACGCGTACTACTGCGGCGGCGTTGGTCGTCTTGCCTGCTTGTTTCCATTCTTGAAGTATTTCGGCTATCTTACGTCGGTCGGTCGGCGACGTTTTATAGGGTTTCATTCGGACGGGAACGCTATTGTCTGCTTCGACGATATCCATAGTCAGTAGATTCGTGCAGCCTATTTCTCTGATCGACTTTGCAAAGACATGACGGTAACGGTTGAGAAGTGACAGCAAAATTTTCCGGCCGTCGGCGTCCACTCCGGGATCAATGTTCACTTCGTCGCCGAAGATCGGGACCACGGGGAATTGTTCGTTTTCGCACTCCACCGCCAGCACTTGTGCATCGCCACAACACGTTTCGTCGGTCAATACTGTACCCTCGAGATGACAGTTTGTTTCTATTACTAGTTCATTCCCTTGTTTATAATAACCAACGTGGGGGAGCTCTAACCAGGTGCGTCCCACCAGTACATCCACAGGGATCGAGTTGTCGTCCACGATTTTCAAATCATGACTTTCGGCGGACACACCATCGATTGTCACGTTCGCTTGTGCCTCGCCCACCGCACAGGTACTAGGTTGGTTCACGCTGCCTACGGTGAAAAGCGGAATCGTCCGAGGCAGTACTGTTAAGCCACACTTTGTCGCGGCGGCTTGGCGTACTAATACAGCTGAACAGCCGGTATCGATCAAACCTGAGAGCTGGACGTTGTTCAACGAGACGGACTTCTCAAATGGGTTCGATCGTATAACGACGTGTGCCGCATTGACCTGATATGCTTGTCCGGATTCACCATTATTGGACTTATCCACCGTTGGTGCGGGACAGCCACTTCGTCGGTGTTGGTCCGAACCACACCCCGAGCACTTCATTGGACGTTGTGGACGCGGACAGTCACGCGATATGTGTCCTCTCCCACGACAATTGTAACAACTAATCGTCGACGTGGCTTCAGTCTCATTGGACGTCGTAGTGGAAGTTTTGAGACTCGTCGGGACATTCATAGGCGCTGCACTCGGTTTGTCGGCGTTACGCGGTACGGCGGCGTTTACGTAAGGTGCGGGTTGTTCAGTGTTAGTCCGATTTGTCGTCGCGGGCTGGAACAATTGTTGGCGCTTGGCACGCAGCTTCTCCCAGTCACGTAGATCGGACAACAATTCGTCAGTGTCGGCTTGTCTCCTGCTAGACACCCAATCTGCCTGTTGTTGTGACCTAAGTCCTTCGAGGATATAGTCACGCGTTTCGGCGAAGCTCAGGCTTAATGAACGGCACAATCCGATTTTCGCGTAGTAATAGTCAATTGTGGGTTCGTTCATTGCCTGAATCCGTGCTTCAAGTTCCCTCCATAGGTCTGCCTTTCGTAGTGTACGCACGAACGTCCTACGGAATCTCTGTACAAAATAGTCCCAATCCTTAAATACTTCTAGTAAGAACCAACTACGAGCGGCTTCTGTCACATGCGCACGTACATACTGGAGTCGATACCTTAACGGCCAGTGGTTCACCTGTGCCAACCCATCGACGGAGCTGATCCAGTCATCCGCTTGTGCACTAGTCTCGTGACCGGTAAAAGTCCAAATAGACGTGCCGACATCTGGCAGGATGCGGTAGTCAACGGACGGTGTCATGACCGGAACATTTGACGTCGTCGAGGCGAGCGTTGGCAGGTTCGACGTCGGCGGTTGATTGTTCGAAGTCGCCGATGCTTCCAGTAGGCGCAATTTCTCTCGCAATTCGGTCACTGTGTTGTACAAATCGAGATAGTCCGGAGCCTTAGGTTCCGACTGATCTTTGTTGTCATCCATAATGTTTATGTTGTGATGATATGAAGATTGATAACGGTTATCCAATCATCGAACGACCACTGATAAGGTGCGATAGTACCGGTTACCAGGGTTGCGGTTACGTCACGTCGTCGACTCGTAACCTCCAAATTCGAACTAACGTTAACGGCACGTTTTCGGAAACGAACTCACGACGCACACAGCGTTTTCGGAAACGAACTCAACGCGCACAGCGTTTTCGGAAACGAACTTACGATGCACACAGCGTTTTTCGAAACACAAACGGGATTTTCGGCGTAACGACGCAGACGGGAGGCGAATACGGAATTCAATCGGACTTTTTTTTTTTTCTTACGCACTCGAAACTAGGTAAAATTAAAAAAAAAAAGACCGTATCCCACTTCTGAAATGATAGAGAACGTTTTACTTTACTTATTAGGCCTATGTATTAATGGCGTCAGGATTAATAAACAGAAGACTGAATTGAATTGAACAATATGACGGTTTATTATATTTCAGGAAAAACACAGCAACGGTAGTAATTTAAATTAAACGGCAGTTCGTCCGCGGACACAAACGTCATGTCCGGCGGTAACGGCGAAACAGGACGAGGCAGTCCAGTCGCCGAGCACAGCCGAGCCGCCGGGGCGTACCAGTGTTGCCACGGTGGCGCTAACACTTATAATAATACTAAATCAATTTAAATTGTTAACAATGTTTGTATACGTACTTGTTATAATAACAATAATAAGTTAATAAATAATAATGGTTAATACGTAATAAAATACATTGTTTTGTTACTCATATGAACCAGATGTTATTCGTCTTAAATAAATAATAGCATAGCATAGTATCATATCAAAAAGATAATAATTACATATTTAGAAAAATTATGTGAAAAACAAAAGTATAGGAATCAATTTACTAAGAACAGTAAGAAGACACCCGATTAGTAACAGGCACGCGTGTACACGTTGCCGCCGCGAGTAGGATCTTATGACGTCACGCGTGATTTTAAAGACTTCGTAACTCGAAAACTATTTAACGCAGAAAAATATTATTGGTACCATTTTTTTAGTCAGATTTTTTGTGATTTTTAAAATAAAAGTCAATTTTGAGTGTTTTATGGTCCTTTAAGATTCTGGACATTTTATAGTTTGACTCTTTAATGTGTGGTCCTATTGTTTAATTTCTTCTTAATTTTTTTACATTTTTTTGCAGGAGAAAGAGTTAATATTGTTTAATATTACCGTTGATATGGTATTAAACGAATTTGATATTCGGATGAATAAGAATCATAATATGAAGTCGAAAACTAGATGATTTTTGGGGTTATAGTGAAAATAATTTGATGATTTGTTAGGTATGCAGTAGGTGAAGAGTGAACTAGCCACATTAATTTTCAATTATTTAAAATATGTTAATTGTCAGTATAAAAAAAAACTACAATTTGGCCATATTACCCACAATGGTTGGCCAAATTGGCCATTCTTTATAACAATATTATAATATTCATTTGATTTGTTAAAAAATGTTTGAATGACATTTTGTTAAGTACAGTGACCAGAAAAATCATTGTAGGATCTTATCTGACGGTTGATAGAATATACCTATAAGCAAAAAAACATAATTTGAAAACTTAGAAGATTTTGATCATATAATACTAGAAACATTAATAATATTCAGCTGTGTAAGTATTAAAATCGATCTATTTAATGCCAAAGCCTAAATTGCTCATTTAATGGCAATATCAATGTCGACTTTTAATAGTTTGAAAGACATTTTGTCATGAAAAATATAGAAACTATAAAATATAATATGTATGATACATTTTATTGTTTAGTGTTCTTACAGTTATAACAACTAACATAATATTATGTTGATAACACCGTGTTTTGTAAATATTATATTCAAATTGTTTTCTGTTTTCGTTTTTAGAAATTTAAAGATTATTATAATAGAATAAAAATATCTTAATATTTATTCCTATCGGTACTGCAGGAAACTTGGAAACTGTTTTTTCTTATCATTAATTTACACAATTTTTGTTTATTAAAAAAATATTGGCAATTTGTTCTTTATGTCACAAAACGTAAATAATGCTATTTATAACATAATTATACTGATATTTATGATACTATTACATTAAAAATATTGTAGGTAGGTTGTAAGTATACAAAATAAAAAAACCTACACTTTCTATTTTATGACTTCAATAGTTCCATAATCCATGTTAATATGACGTTCTTTCATAGAACATACTGAATATATTGGAATGTACCTACTTAATTTAGTAGAAAATAAACTATTTCAATTTAAAAAACAATTAAAACAATTTACTCCTACAAATCAATAAAATAAACGATACATTTGCGTGGCGCGTTAGATAGGCAATTTAGGTCCATAAACATACTTAATGTTCACAAATCACAATGGGTAGGCATAATATTATCATAATAAGAATTAACATTACATAGATAAGCTAAGTAATAACCGTAAAAAATGTGTAACATTCCTAAGTCAACTTATACTAATCCAGTTTATGGTTTACCTGTGAACTGAGAAGAACACCTTAAGGATAATTTAGATTGGCTCAGTTAAATCATTTTTTATGGTAATTTAGGTAAATCAGATGATTTAAGTATAATACAAAATTAAAAAGGTATTTGAAAATGTTCATTTTAAAGGTTTATGCATTAATAATTACTGTTAGGTAAGTACCTCAATCAATCGATATTTACTCAGTTATTTTGTCTAGGATAGAATCATAATCATAGTCACGATATAAGTTATATTATTTTTGATATTTACACACAAAATATATATTATTACCGATAAATGTAAAATTTAGTAACAGATTCATATATTACTATAATAGAGGCCAAAGTATATTATGGTTTAAGTTTATTGGTTTATACCTATAATATATAAAAAAAAATACTGGACCAATTTTGAAAAAAAAAACAATTGAGAATATATTTTCAACACAATCAAAACGGAAACGATAGATATATATCAATCATAATATAGATGATCAGCTTATATCTAAATGACCCATAAATTCACTAATTGCCACAAAATTGTACCCACGTATTATGTTGGAACCCGGAAGGTTCGTAAGAGTATTAACTATTAGAATTATTTTTAGTATTATAGTATTAGAATCAGAACCGTGTTAATGAGGGTGAGCAAAGGGGGAAAATGCCCCTGGGCGCCATAGATTCGTAAAAGTAAGGGGACGCCTTTATTTGAGCTTAATATGCCATCTGTGGCCCAAATTGTAAGGAAGGGGTGCAAATTGCCCCAGACCGCTGAATTGCTTTACACGGCTCTGATTATAATAGAATCCACGGGTAATAGCTGTTACCTTT